ACTTCAGTCCCGAAAGGATTCATCATTTTGTTATGAATTTATTTAAAAAATAAAACACAAATGTGTGCAATATATTTTTAATTACCTTTCATTTTCATGAAAACCTTCCGCTTATGGTGGTTTCTTCTAGATGCATTCGATCCAATAAGTATTCGAAGTTTCTCTATTTAAACAAAACAATTTATATATTTAATATACTAGTTTTTTAAAAATACGAACAATTACAATTAGATACAAATTTGAAATTGTTAAAATATCAGAACACGTTGAGAGATTACTGTCATCGAAAATCCAGTTGAAAATATTCATCATGTATATATATATATATATATATATATACACACCTATCCCCGTGTCCACGCATTAGAATAATATTCATCAATGTGAAAAATAAAAACAAAAATCAAAGCATTGAAACGTGTCGAACGTATTTTTTGTTTAAATTCTTTTTAAACATTATCTTCTTTTATACATACATTGATTTTATTCTCAGTTACGGAGATAAGCGTGTTTGTGTTGTTAACTAATCTTACATTTATTTTATTAAATACGTACTCTAAAAATTTTTTCCTTTTCATAGTGGTTTCTAATATATCTCTCACATATTTCTTCATTCCCATAAGTATACCTATAAACCGTAGCAATAATATAATGAATAATTTGTTCATAGAAATGTATAATAAAATTGTAATATCAATTGTGTGTTTATACACCAACCTTGTTAACAATAATCGAATTACATTTCTTCAACCAGCAACTGCAATAATCTGCAACCATAGATAATAATAATAAGTTATCGTCACACTAAGAGAATGCAATTTATAGCTGTAATCTACAAAATATTTGCAAAATATAATTGATCGTTTTGTTTTTCTTTGTTTGTTTTATTTATTTTTTCAATATATTCTCAAGAGAATAATAATTATCTATAGAAATAATATCACGATAGCTATGGGTGTTACTTTAAATGATTTGATTTTAGATATTTAATTAAAACGTATGACAGAAACAAAAAAATAAGTTCATCGTATTTTCAATTTGCAGTTTTAAAAAAAAAAATGTTCATTCTCGTGATATATCAGTGATTAATAGGATATACATATATTAAAATAGTTTTAGATTTGATAAGTATGATGATATATTGAATTTTCATTAGTAGATATAGTATATAAATCGATATAATTCAATAGTTAATAAATAATTCATCATCATCATCGATAACATACAATCTGATATTAATTATTATTATTATAATAAATTATAGAGAATATATATTATTAATTCTAATCTTTCTTCATATATTTGTGGCAAGTTTAAAATCTTTCTGACAGGACT